GGAAGGCCCGCCGCCGCCGGCATCACCCGGGCCAACGCCGGGGTCGCCCGCCGGCGGCGGCGGAGGGAGATGGGGAAGGCGGGGTCCTGCGGGCGCGGGGTGTGAGCTCCGCCCCGGCCACCTCCCGGGGAGGCGGCGCGAGGCGGCCTAGCCGGAGGAGGGGCCGGGCGGAAGGGGGCGGAGGCGGGGGGCGGGGCCGACGGCCGGCGGCGGCGGGAGAGGCGGCGGCGGCGGGAGGGGAGCGGGGGAACCCTAGCCGCGGGAGCGGCCCCCTCCTATCCTTCTGTTAGTTCCTTCTGTTCACTGTAAGCAATGAATAATAGTGTGATGGTAATGAATAATAGTGTGAACCTTTTGTTCTTTGCTATGTTCATTAATTCAACTATTTATAGGGCTATGTAGTCGGCAACCCTGTTACAGGCTCAGATTATGATGACAATTTCAGAGTACCATATGCTCATGGTGTTGGGATTATATCCGATCAACTATATGAGGTAAATCCGCATTCAAGCGCATCCATAAGTTGCAGTGGTAACACTATTTTCCTTTTTTCCTTTTTCAAAGGCTGCAATTTTGAATTGTAAAGGAAGCTATATAAGACCGACAAACAAAATGTGTGTCAGGGTGCTAAACACATTTCAAAATGTAAGATTTCTATTACTACTACTAGGTTTCAAAATTACTTATACGAGCTGCCATTGACTTGAGTATATTATATTGGTCCCTCGTATTTAATTGCAGCTCGTGTCTGAAATTGATGTGCCACAAATCCTGGGTGTCAATTGTATAAGGGGTATGTTAACACATAAATTTCTATCAGAAGAATACACTCAACTAAGTGATCCGTCTCCCGAGCAACCTACCATAGATTGTTTTGTAAGTTATTCCCTAGGGTGATCATTTCAAAGAAGATTCACTTTTATTTCGATATGAATTTCTTTTCTGCATTCTGATGATGTGAATTTTGCCTTCTCATGTGTAGTCATACCGTTACTACCTATGTAATATTTGGGCGAACGATGATTCCACGAGAGAAGCTCTTGGGTGAAGCGGGTAACCAATCATATATGACATGTTTTCCCCTTTATACTAAGTCTCCATACATATTCCAAAAAACTATATGCATACATGATCAGGTAGCTAGCATATGAGATATTTGATTTTCTTTGTCGCCAGATCACAATGCTACTTTAGCTGGCCTTTCGACACAATGCAGTTTGCAAGATTGACTAAATGATCCAAGAATTGAGTAACATAGTCGTTTCACATGGTTGCAATTCAGACCCATAGAAGTAAATGATGTTACGTGACATATTGGAGTTTCTAGTTGTATTAAGAGTAGACGATGGAGCACCACCCTAACCTTTGTGTAACATGGTCCAACCATTACTGAAACAATGCATCCATTTAGGGAACAACCAGAGAGTTCATAAGATGCAAGAAAAGTATCCCATACGCATCGGAGGTCCCCAGCAGCATAAAGTACCATTTCAACCTCACAAGCAGGGGCTATCGTGCGCTTGTGTTTAGGTGGAGTATTTATTATCCTTGGTATTTTACATGTACTGATTGAAACTTGGTCAACACGTCTTGAAATCACGACCTCTAAGTGCAGCGGAGACCATGATCTTGTGATACCATTTTTGAGCACGCATGCGTGGATTAGATCCTTCAACTTCTCCGTAGTCGATGATTGGAGAGCATGGCATCTTGATGGCCAAGCTGCAGGGTAAAGTAAACATGTTTTTTTCTGTTTACTTTGTTGACATTTCAGTCTTGGTTACTTGACAAGGAACACATGTGTTGTCTTTGGTGTAGATTTACAATCACATACGCCAACTATATGACATTTGCGACAATAAAGGTACGATATCTTGTATTTTTCATTCTGTGATATAATGTTGCAGACATGATTGGACAGAAGAAACTGTAACACTGCAATAATTGTTGGTTAAATTGCTTATGCAGGGTGGTGGCCACGTATCCATAGAACACCGACCTAAGCAATGTCTTGCCATGGTTCAACGCTGGTTGGATAATGAGCCTCTATGACCTACCCTATTTAACTTTATCATTTTCTCCCTGCTCAAATCATGTGGGTTTTTTTTAATGTACAATAGAAGTTCAGACCTCCACCAAGTATTTTTCAAATGATGGATGAGTTCTATAAAAGATGCACATGCACTCTTGGAAAAATTCCTTTTCATGAAAGTGTTCCTTTTATTCGTGAACATTGCTCGAAGTAATACGATGTTTGGTCACTAAACTTTAAAGGACGCTGCTATGCAGTGGTGTTGCCCCGCAGCGGAGGGTCTAATTATGTCATGTTAGCAACACTGCGCCAACATGCTCATAACAAACATGCTTTAAACATGCACATTTGAATCAGAGCATTTGCTTGTGACCCCCGTTCCCCGTGCCGCTCCCGCGAGCGGCCCGGGTGGAACCCTAAATCGCGCCGCCGCCAGTCCCCC